GAAAATAACAGAGGATGTCCGATACGCTATGGACAACAGAGAACTAACCATTTTAGTTCTTCTAGACTTCAGTAACGCTTTTAACTCAGTTGACTTCGACATTCTATTAGGAATCCTCTCTTCCCTCTCGATATCACCAGCTGTTATTAAATGGTTTCAATCTTACCTCGTCGGACGTCGGCAGATGGTGAAATCTGATGAGAGCTGCTCTGATTGGAATGTCACATATGCCGGGGTGCCACAAGGCGGCGTCCTCTCTCCTTTACTCTTCTCTATATTCATAGATAATATTTCCAAAAACATTTCTTCTCCCTATCATCTCTATGCAGATGATTTGCAGCTTTATAGACATACTCCACTATCTACACTTGTGGTAGCTATCGAGGCTGTTAATGAGGAGTTGATATCTATACACAGATGGGCAAATGACTTCGGTTTACTAGTGAACCCTAATAAATCTCAGGCGATAATTATTGGAAGCAAGCAACTCTACAAAAAAATTAATTTTGACACTTTACCCTGTATAATGTACGATGGGGTGACAATTCCATTGTTAGATCGGGTTAAAAACTTAGGTCTATTAATGGATTGTCACCTGTCGTGGACAGCTCAGGTGAATGAGGTAAGTAGAAGAATTCACTCTACTCTTCATTCTCTTAAACGTCTGCAAAACTTCCTTCCTTTTAAAACTAAAATTATTCTAGCACAATCTCTCCTCCTTTCCTTACTCGACTACGGTGATGTTTGCTACTTAGATGCCACTGATGAGCTGCTCGATAAACTGGATAGACTTCAAAATTTGTGCATCCGATTTATTTTCGGCTTGCGTAAATACGACCACATCTCTGAATTCCGCAGCAAATTAAAGTGGCTCCCTATCCGCTTCCGCCGGAATATGCATGTTTTAACGTTAATGTACAATGTGTTCAAACATTCTTCTCCCCCGTACCTACTCGAACGTTTTAAATTTTCCTCCCCCAGAATCCTTCCTAATCGTTCCTGTGTTGCACAAAATCCTCTTGATATCCCCTCCTTTAATACTAAATTCTATCGTAAATCCTTCTCCGTCCAAGGTTCAAAACTTTGGAACTCACTCCCACCTTCTATTTAAAAAGAGAGTCCAAGTACATTTGCCTTTAAATATCGGCTTAAGAGACATCTTCTATCACTCTTACCTTAATATAATATGTAATGTTTATGTACTTATATATATATTTATGTGTATGTTTATATATTTATATATATATTGTATTTATTTGTATATATTTATGTATATATCTATGTATGTATAATATCTGTATTTTATACTATTATAATTTGATTTGTATTCTTATATATATACCTCTATATATATCTATATACCTCTTTTTTCTTTTTTCCTTCTCTCATTTTATTGTACCTATGCCACATTTCTCTTCTCATTTCCTCTATCAAAAGGGTTTCTGGTAGAGATCTCTTTTAAGAGATAAGTTATCCTTTGTACATGACATTTCTCTTATAATATTCGAATTGTAACTATCTTTTATGTTTGGTACATTAATAAATAAATAAATAAATATATTTTACTAGTTTTGCCCTCAACTTCGTCTGCGTTAGTTTCAGAATAAGGAATGGATAGCTAACCGGCGAAGTCTATTCTACCTTAAAGACAGTAGATAAGAAGATTTTGGATTTGATAAACTTTTTTTTTTTTCAATCGGATGAAAGTATACTATATCCTTTCCCTTGTTCTAAGTTATCTCTCCAGCAATTTCAGCCAAACCCGTACAGCCGTTCTTGAGTTATAAATAGTGTAACTAACACGACTTTTTTATATATGTACATATAAAGATTATAAGGCGTTATATATGTATATAGTATACAAATTGTTTCGTATTTTATTAAAATATTTTATAATATTGATATATATTATTCATATTGAAGGATTAGTTAAACCATTATCTATCAATTATTTTAATATCAAGAATCCATAAATAACAAGAAAACGACCGAAACGCTAACTTTGGTAATATAATTAGTTGTTCAGATCTTATCGGCATAACGATTTCATTCTAGGATTAGAAATTAATTTGGATTTAATACTTTAAAGCTAAATAGAGAAATAATTTCCAATTTTTATGTCTTTAAATTTAATAGCCGTCATTTATAATCATCAGAACGCCTAAACGGTGTTTAATTTTTTTTTTTTTTATATGTGTTCCGAAAATAATGACAATATAATAAGACGAAACATAGCATTCAATGTATTCACCGTTCGGGTGCAGGTCTATTGTTGTAGTGAGACAAGCTTCAACAGTGCCTGGGACTTGCGACCGAGGTGTAGGTTTAAGGCCTCGGCCTCGAATTTTGCGGGCAGCGGAGCGGCAGCGGGAGCGGCAAGATCATACGCGTATAATCAAATGGACCGACCCTCGAATACAGCGGTGCAGGAGCAGGGCGGGGGCGGGCAACGAGCGGTGCACGGGTGCACTCCAGTGAAGCGGTGACCGCCCGCGTTGCGCGTCTGCATTGTAGTGTTGTAATTTTTTTTTTGTGACGTATCAAAATGTATTCGGACGTGCAAGAGCAAATTATTTCGGCAATCTTTGAGAGGACACCCTTATGGAACAGCAAAGATGTGAACCATAAAAATAGAAGATGAATTAACCAATTATGGGAAGAAATAAAAAACGAACTGAATATTGAAGGTAAATATAATAATGATTTATTATGTCAAATACAATATTTATTAGCTTTTACAAATTAATTAGTAACTAATGCGATTATTTACAAAATATTCTTTGAATTTTTCATTTGTAAGCAATTTGTAATTGTAAACAAAAGAACAAATTTCTTAGAAAGTTCGGTATGACTGTCGAGTTTATTTCGGGTTAGGATAACAAAGCGACAAAAGAGCGTACACAGCTGCGCAGTTTTTACTAATTTTAGCCACTTAAAAGGTATTTTTTATTACTTAATTGTTGTCGTTATATAGAGTTTACACTGATTTACTAAATTAGTGCAACACAATTTCTAAAAGATATAGATCTAAATCGTTTTGAATTAATTCCAGACTCTAAATCACTCTTGATAGTTTCAAGAATATAGTCAAATGTTTCTACACTCATTCTGGTGTAGTCGTAGAATCTATCGGGATTTTGTCTTTGTTCTTCATAGTTTCGATAAAACTCGCCATTTATTTTCCTTGCCCTATAGTAGGGATCCACTTCTTCTTTTGCCCACAATAAATCAAGCATTAGGAATGATTTCGAATCATAAAGATGTCGCCGTTTTTCAGACATTTCGTTCGCGAATAAAACAAATATCTCGACAACACAACCACGAACACAACACTACACCGCTATAGTGCCGCGCGATCTGCCCGCTAGTTTCGAGAACAGGTATGCGTTGCCCGTCCCCTTGGCGCGCCGCTGCCGCTGCCGCCCCGCTACCCGCGAGATTCGAGGCCGAGGCCTAAGAGGGCCCTATATAACGCGCGTTGAACGCTCATCTCCACCGTTCAAGCTCCCCTTTCTACCCAACCAACAAAGTGCTTTGTAAATACGTCAATAGAAATTAAATGTTAATAAAACATTCTATGGATTATAAAAAGTTGAAGAGTCAACATTCAATAATATTTATGAAAAAACTATTAAAGGCTTTATCCAAATAGAAGATTTAAGTAGTGATATGAAATATATTAAGATTATAAGTTCGTTACACGTACAATGCGTTTAATTATATTAAAATATAAACCAATAATGTAAAAATCACGTCACATAATAAAATTGCCATATTAAGAAATTATTATCTTTAAGCCGATTTCTCTTGTCTTCAATCTGAATACAATGCAATGCAATACGATTGTATTCTGATCAATTCATTAACTATAATATATTATTAAGAATAACATTAATTAAAAAGCTACTTATTTTCATTTAGCACAAGATTTTGTTTCTGTTAAAAACGGTCAATTCAATGATTGTAATCCAAACATCGTCTCCCAGACGGAGAGCAAATTGCAATTCGACCCAGCATAATTATATTCCGGACAGATTCGTGTAACGGTTAATGAACCAGTTAAGAACATTGGACCTAACAGCTTTGGGATCAAATCAACTTGGATGGTAATTTCCATTCCGTAAATAGAGTGTCTGCTAGGGATAGTTGTCCTTTTTCAACTGCATTTTGTTTGAAGTGGGAATTACAAAATATACACTCATTACGCATACACATGCCCGTGCATATGTACATGCATACACACAAAACAGAAACGCACACACACGCACAAATACCATCAAACGCACACATACACACATACCATCACACACACAAAAGCCCAAGAAAAATAACGTAGTCTTCAGTTAGGATTAGTTTGAAGCTTTCTGTTTCTTTACAAACAAATTTTGCTACATCATAACGTCATATAAGTATCCTCATATAATTATCATGTTAAAATTATTGCTTTAATGAAACCATATTTTAACATTACAGGATTCCTTAACTTAAATCCGCATGCATGTTGGTATATAAAAAATATGATCTCCATAACTGATATAGAAGAATTTTATATATTCAAATCATGTAGGAATAAAAAAGAGAAAAATTTTCGTATTTCTTTCTAATGTGAAACGTATTTTTGTTCAGATTTAGATTAATAGATTACGTCGAGCTCTCACTGATAATAGGCTAGTTATAACCCAACATTTTACTGAGAGAACCGTTACACCCGGTGGCGATGTAAGTTATTTAATCATTTTCTCCATAAAACCCAAACTAAATTGTAAATATTAAAAATATAATATTTATTCAAAATATCCCACGTCAAAATCACAACATCAGTAGCAAATTGCTGCTCAAAGGAAAATTCCTAGCTTGTTGCATGTTATTGGCGCGAGTCATGTTTTGTTTTCATATTTTATTTATTGGAAAATGATTTTACATATGTTGAATTTTTCTGGTCATTTTTATAGAATATCTTATTGCTATTTGATTTATTATTACCTTATTTTCAGATAAGTATGCAATGTGCCGCCACTGGTGATAGACCTCCTCAGTTCGTTTGGGAGCGAGATGGAGTTACTGTTTCAAGCAACACAGATCCTAGGTATAGCATATTTCTAAGCTATTTCTTTAATCTGATACTTTTTAGGTGTCTTTTGACTTGTCCTAAATTTCGTTCTATTTACAATATAGTTGCCCCGTATGAATCTAATTTTAAAAACTTTTAAGAAAATAACTCTTGTCAATGCTAAATATTTCAAATTTTTTGGTTATTAGATGGAAGATACTTTAGGTTTTAAAAGTTTTTTTTTCTGGCGTTTAAACAAATTAATCCATGAATAATTACTTTTCATGAAAATATCATAAAGTTTTTAAATCGTTCAAAGAAATTTATCCCCAAAATTAAAACCAATTAGCTAGATAAGATCGTGCCAATCACACAGAGACCGCATAACATTCCGTTTCCAAATGCAATTCCGCGTCAGTGCTATCGTGTAAAGCTATTCCGAGTTTATATCCAGCATAAACTTTATACTTCTTTAAAACATCAAAATAAAACTCTATATATTTCGTAGTTCTCTGCAATATAAACAAATAGGTATATAATTACTTACTAGATTGTGTGACAATTAAATATTTTGACATACAAACAGGTATGCGTTAGGACAAATTATGACGACAGATAACTCTGTAATAGCCCAACTCAATATAACAAGGGTTCGAGTAGAAGATGGTGGATTATATGCTTGTATAGCGAAAGAAGGTGAACATGTAGCCAGCAGTGAGAACAGACTGGACGTTTATGGTAAATATAATCAGCTTTTCTGTATTTATATACAAAATTTAACAGAATTTCACACTTAATTTATTATTGTGTATTAGCAAACTGTGTGCCAATTAGTTGTATTATTCAGGTCCACCTTACATTCGGTCACTACCGCCAATTAAGGCACAGAGTGGTGAATCAATAAATCTCAGATGTCCATTCTATGGATATCCCATAAGGTAATTATTATTAAAACTTACTAAGATGAGGCATTACTAAGAGTTTGAATGAAACTAATATTTTCGGATTACTACAAGTATTTTATTATAAATATTTAAAAATTATGTATTCCGACGTTTAGGTTACTTTGCGGCAAAAGTGATCAAGGGAGACGAGATGTTAGTTATTAATCCGAAGTTATTAGTTTCATTTAAATGAATACTCACGAAAGTATTATATTCATTCTTACTTAGAGTTTTATGCCGTCTATTCTTTGGTAATTAATTTCTAACTGTCATTGTGACGCCGTTTAGCAATTTGAATACGTCATTTAATAACAAGATACACTCGCTTTATGCTCTTGTTTCTTTCAAACTAAACCAAAACTAATCGAAAAGTTTAGTTCTTTGAACTTATGTTATGTTAAAAATATATTTCAGACACATTTTATATCTATTCGATGACTTATATTTAATAAAATGAATTCTATCTCTCTCTGATTATAGCAAAATCGATTGGGAACACAAAGGCAAAACAGTTAACCTAAACAATCTTTTTCAATCACGTTATAAAAGAACACAAAATCACCAGAAAAGAAAATCAAGAAGAAGTATTGTCAATATACACGAGGTATTGACAATTCCTGTGAAGTAAATAAAGAAGATAATGGTGCTGTTTATACTTGTATAGTGACATCACCGTCTGGTGAAATGGCTAGACGTTCGTTTGAAATACAAGTTATAGAGGCACCTATTTTGGAGGATTTACTGCTTGGTAATAACCTACAGGAAGGTCAAATAGTAAATATTTATTGCAACGTACGAAGCGGTGATTTACCGATACATGTCGAATGGTTGAAAGACGGAAAGAGAATTTCAAGCAATTTGAAGGTATATTCGAGAATTCTCCACTTTATAATAATTGTTCTGAGAGATTTGTTTTTGTTTATGTATAGTAGATTGTAGATTTATTTATAAAAACTTTTTATATGGATTATAAAAAGTTTTTATAAATAAATCTATATATTTGTAACGGTTTAAAATATTAGCACTGAATTAAATGTATGCGTCAACTCAAAGGGACATTTCAATAGAATTAATTGCAATACACATCAATGCTATTGAACTAATGGAATGAATATTTGATTAAAAGCGTATAAAGCGCTTTTTACATCAAATTACTCATATAGAAATTAGTCAATTACTTGATTGTAAATGAAAATAAAATTCAACTAAGTTATGTTCAGGTAGTCGAAAGAAGTTCGGAATTATTCAGTGCACTAGAGATCAAGAAAGTTGCATTGGAACATTGTGGTACATATACTTGCGTGGCATCCAACCACGTAGCGAAGGTCAATAAGTCTACGGAATTGTATATCAAAGGTAAATTTTTCATATTGTGCTTCATTTATTACTGCTCTGCAAATTGCCAAAATAATCATTCTGCTTATTGAATTGACAAATATTACGTGTTACACACACAGAATTTATACACAAAGAAATTAAGGCAATATAAAAGTTATATAAAAATTATGAATTTTGTAACTATTTTTCCTTGTTTCAATTCGTCTCTCTTGCTCGGAAGAAAAGGCATTGTATCATGCAGTGCGAGCGGCTATCCACAACCACAAGTACATTGGATGAAAAAAGATGGTACAAAACAACAGTAATATTTGATCACGGTATATTAAAGTGAATTGATATATATTCCATTTTTTACCAGCTCTTCTGGGTACTTGGCAACCTGTCCTTGAACTAGCTGGAGGAGGAATCCTAAGTCTTCCCAACGGAAGTCTTGTCATTGAAGAAGTTTCTTTGACAGACGAGGGCTTGTATTCGTGTAATGTGGAAAATGCTGTTGGAACACCATTGAGCAAAACCGTCTGGATGACAGTCAATAGTATGTAATTTATATAGAGAGTAAGATTTTTATTTTCATGTGATGATTAAATTGTGCCAACGTCAATTCACTATGTCCTTATCATGAGCTACCGCAGATTCATGTATTTTTACTTTTATTTATTAGAATATTTTTGAAAACTAATTGTTTTATTTTGAATTTTGATAAGCATTTGAAATCATGAGCAACATCGCTAATTTTTTCCCTATACCCTAACCTATTTACTTATTGTTTATAAGATAACGTATGTATGTATAATATTTTAGAACCAGTGCACTTTGACACGGCATCAGCTAATGTGACATCACGACTTGGCCACGCCGTCTCTTTGGAATGTCGCGCGCTTGGTGATGACCCTATCAGAATCACATGGAACCATAATATAAACAATATAGACTTCCAAAGTCACAGGTATGGCATAATGTTCCAATTTTTGACATTAGCTTTTTATCTAAAAAAGGAAATAACTTCAGATGAAGAAGTCTAAAATAATCTAAGAATCTATAATTCAAAAATATTTCACATAAGTATGTATAAAATAAAAATCCAATATAAAATACTTTTGGTTCAATGGATTTTTAGCAGTATTAAATTTCAATAAACACTAGGTCGTAATGATAGTAGGTAGTATAAAATCTAATCATCAAAACAAATAAAAATGCTCTTTCATAAATGTACATATATCGCTCATTAATCTTCAAAGAAATCGTATAAATTAAGAGTTAAATTATCCACAGAGCAAAACACTCAGAGACGAAAACCTCGCTTGGTGTAACCAGCACAATAAATATACAGTATTCAGAAACAGCCGACGCTGGCTTCTATCAATGTAGAGCGAGCAATCCGTATGGGTCAGCTAGCTTCAACACATTCCTTACTACGAGTATATTAGGTAAGTTGAGTTGTTTAACAAATACTGCAATTATTTTCTTTTGGAAGTCAAGAATATCCTTGCAATTTGACACCACATGACATTGACATTGAATTCTTTCACCAATCTAATAAAACTAAGAACTTTGCACTGATATTTAAAAAAGCAGATAAAATTTAATAATTAAATAATAAAAATATTAAAAAGAATTCAACAATTTTGTAAGCTCAAAATTTTAAGCTACCCAATAGTATGGAAATAATGTTCCCTTCATCTTTACATTACAAAAAAATCTGTTGAAGTTTCGACAATTTTAGTGCTTACCTGTTCATGAGTTAGCTATCAAAAATATCACAAATTAATAAAAACGTATACATAAATTTAATTATTACACACAGTTGGTCGTAAATAATATATATTAATATTTGTTATCAACGGAACCCCCCACCCCTCCAGCCGAACTCAGAGTAGAATCAGTTAGATCTCGTACAGCATCAGTTTCATGGAGAGACGGGGCACACGCCGAGTATTACACATTACAACACACGCCCGCTCATTACGCCGATGACTGGGAATACGCCGTTAGTCTTAATATTACGAGGTAGGTGCTATACTAATATATAATGAAAGGAATATGGAATAAAAACTTGAAAATGATCGTATAAAGAATACTTGAATTATAAGTTGTATTAATGACATCTAATTAATAACGAGAAAAAAATATATATTTTATTAAAATATATTATTGTATTTAGGTATGGTAGATTGTTATCTTTACAAAAAAAATATTACCTTTTGAAGGCTTTCTGCCAAATTTCGATTATTAAATTAAGTTATAAATGTTTTGATTATTAATACTAGAAAAATAATATATATTATGTATATATAATACCTATGTATTTTTGGAAAAATATACAAGGAAAGGCAACGACATTCGTCAAACGATAGAACTACAGAATATCCGACCTGCGACGGCTTACGCGGTGCGAGTAGCAACTGGTAATGAAGTGGGTGTCAGTCGTTTTACGGCGCCTGTACATTTTACAACACACGAGGAAGGTAGTTATTATTTTAATTTTAAATTAAATTTACTATTTAAACTGCTAAATTTAAAACATAATTTATGCAATATACCAATAACACTTTTAATTTAACGAGTAACATTCAAAACGTCTGATCTTCGTAAAAATAAAACATTTGTGCGCCTCGGGACGCTCAACAAAAGTTATAATTTAAACTATTTAATACATAAATTTTGTATATAAATTGTGTAGGTTATTACTTAAATCTTATAATAGAACTTTTTTAGTAATATTATGAAGCGGTTTATCCTCCCATAAGAAGTTATCACTAGCATGTTAATTTCAGTTGAAGACAAGTATTTCCTTTTACAACCCATTTATAACAAAACCTCGAATTACATGAATTCCATCACAAATTAAATTTTTAAAATTTAATGACACAATCTTGATGTTTACTTAGAACTCTCGATATATATTTTTAGTTATATTAATTACATGTAATATACAATTAAATCAACATTCTTTTAGTGTTAAAATAAACAATAATTTTAACTCAATTTACAGCTCCATCGTCAACACCTATTAATATACAAATTGAACAAACTGACAATCCTGGAGACTTATTCGTCTCCTGGCTACCTCCGCCTAAAGACACTCACAATGGAATCATAACAGGCTATCATGTAAAGGCTGTGCCACAAAAAGGATCATCTAGTAAGTCCTCCTAAGAACTCCTCAACTTAATTATGCAATTTAAATGAAACTAATATTTTTAAATTTTACTTCGCCTATTTATTTTTGATTATAAACTACATAATCCCGACGTTTCGGCTACTTTTCAGCAACCGTGATCACGGGCAGACGAGATGTGAGTCCGAAGTAAAATCCGAAAATATTAGTGTCATTTAAATGAGTACTCGCGAAAATCATAGATCTCATTAATTATGCAATATTGGAAATGCAAATTTATTGAAACTAATACTTTTTTTTAGTTTTAGCGGACACTGATACAAGGACTCTGAAAGTGTCAAAGTTATCCGGAAAACAAGAAACAGTTATCAGTGGTCTACTCAAAAATACCAGGTAGATGGGAAATTTTCATTACTAATCATTTTTTACTATTTGGTGTTGGAGGAACTTTAATTTGTAATATTAAGGGAGTACATTTTATAGATTAAGATAAAGACAATCAATTATATGTCAATACAACTCTAATATTCAGAATCTCGAAGTAACTCTCATTTAAACTGCTAAATGTCTGACAAATAGAATGACTGAATGAAAACAGTCTACTGATACTTACCTTAAAGTTTTATTTTTCAGATATGCTGTTTCCATATCAGCTTTCAACAGCGCGGGATCAGGTCCATTTTCGATTCCAGTATTTCAAGATACTATGGAAGGAGGTAAAATCAAAAATCTTTACCTTATCATTACAAAGATATACTTAATAATTACGGTTTTGCTCCATTTGATATATCAGTTAGTCTGTCTGTTTCACCAAAACATCACCATCTCGAGGATTTTTCTTTGTTTATTACTTACTAGTTTTCGCCCGCGACTTCGTCTGCGTTAGTTCAGGAATTAGAAATGTATGAAACCGGGCGAACTCTATTTTTGCAATAAAGACTGTAGATAAGAAGGTTTTGGATTAAATCAACTTTTCTCTTTTGAGCTATTCCTCCCCCAATTTTTGTCCAAATCCGTACAGCCGTTCTTGGGTTATAAATAGTGTACCTAACACGTTTTTCTTTTATATAAAGATTTAAACATTAAATCAATTTAAGGGATATTAAAGTAAATATTTAGCTATAATAATACCTGTTGCAGCTCCCGAAATCGCCCCATCATCAGTTGAATGTACGGCTGTGTCATCTACGTCACCACGCATCGGTTGGCAACCAATAGCGATACACGAACAGGGAAGTTCTTTGATCGGTTACTCCATTCTGTATGGAACTGAAGGTAATCACGATTGGAATCAAACTTTACAGCAAAATAAGAGGCTTTAAATTAGTATGAACAAATTATGTACATATTTTTTCTTAAAATTAGTAATGTGTTCGTAATATTCCTTTCGAATTTTTAAATTATTATTTATATTTATCTAAGATTTTACTTTTACAGAAAGCTCTTGGCAGAACCAAACCTCTCTCCACATTGAAATTTATCTCCAAGGTCTTTCTAAGTACAGCAACTATACGATAAAAGTTGCAGGTTTTTCCAACTACGGTGCTGGGCCGTTCTCGTTCCCAATAGTTTGCACTACGTTACAAGATGGTAAGATAATAATGACTATTTGTTTTATGTGAATAACCCAATAACTACATAATATGACATGATAATTTTATAAATAATGTGGTTCTCGTTCTCATTAAATCAAATAAACTTGAAAAAGTAATCGAGAGCGTAGTTTATTCAAAAAACATAGTTTCATTATAAATGTGACACACGAAAATCTTAAATTTCTTCTAAATTCTTAAAATTCTATCCATTCTACTTCCTACAAATATTATAAAATGTGTGTAACAATTTATAGTGCTTCATTTATCTAATTAATTTCAATATAATTATAATTTCATATACATTGACTAAGTACATTTGATCTATAAAGATCCCCATTAAATATAGACGTCGTTTTAAAGGATCCGTTAAGAATGGTCTATAGTGTAAGGAGTAAATCATGAGTATAATCCAGGACAAAAACAAACATTTATCTTAGTCAGCTTCACATAAAAATTTAATGAAACTAATATTATTTGGATCACAACGCGTATTTTATTATTTTAAAAACTGTAGGTATATCCTCGACGTTTCGATTACTTTTCAGCAACCGCGATTACGCGCAGACGATATGTGAAACTTCGGGAGTATGTAGTTTTTAAAATAATAAAAAACCAACCTACTAATCCAAAAAATACTAGTTTCCTTTAAATGAATACTCGCGAAAGGCTTACATCTCATTATTCCAACAAAAATCCAATATATTTCCTATTTGGGTATTTCTTATCAAATGTCGAATTTTCAGGTATATTGTAAAAAAATGTTTTGTACATTTAAAGGTTTTTTTTTTGCAGAAATGTAAAATGTAGCTATAAAAGGTTTATTATTAAACCATAGTCTTCCATTATTTTGTCCACAGTAGTATATTGTTTCATTCGTGACGAACAGACTTTTTAGTAAAGATTTTGGAGTAAGGGACAAGATGAGGGAATGATTTTCGGAGTTGCTGCTGCTTATATATATTTTTTTATTTATAATGTCACGTTTTCTTTATCAGCGATAGTAGTATAGGATAGCATAAATTGAAATGAAAAAAATATAACCATAATTAAATCATCTGACTTAGCAGCAAAGACCGAGGACTACAATTTCGACATTTTTTGAGAAATACCCATTTGTTGCTTTAAATATTTATTCCAATATTCAGGGAAATAAATATATAATATAATGAGCAACTTGTATATTTCAGTTCCTGATCCGCCTTCAGATATCAAAGTTCTTATTCTATCATCTACATCACTGTTGGTCAGTTGGAAGAAGCCGGAACATTGTAACGGAGAACTATTATATTATACTGTTTATGTGAAACCAACTTCAGGGTAAATTTACTGCTTATATACATAAATACTTTAATTAGTCTTAAGATGCTACTTCACTTGGCGTTGCGTATTCGCCGCATTTGTCCAAATATTTGTACGTAGTCCAAATAGCGCAAACACGACATCCACACTTGGCATGCCAACAACACTTCGTTACGCGTTTTCACTTATTTGTGTATGTGTCTTATTTGTGCAAATATGTCAAATGAAGACGAATAATCCACACATTACATACACATGGTCTTATTTGACCGAACACAATAAATAAACGCCAAGTGAAGTGCCACCTTCATTGTTCGTATTGATTGACAACTTGTTGAGTGTTACCAAAAGTTGCTAACAATGTTATTAATTACATATTTCAATCGACTGTCATATACTACCTATAGATAAAATAATATGAGATTAAGATCCTATTACTGAACTAGCAGTGAAATAGTCTATTACCCTTCAAAGTTTTAAAATAATCACACCGTATATATTATTAAAAGTTTACATTGTAACCGGTTTCGAAAAGAAAAACAGCAAATTCATGTACAGTTTATCTTGTTTTCTCCTTCGTCAAGGTAATTATTATTTTAAAGTCAAACTTTTGCACAGCCCTGGTCCACCTCTAACGAGTCGTGTGGATCCTTCTCGGACCACAGCTGAGATCAAGGAGTTGACGAGCGGAAGATCGTATGAAGTGTGGGTGACTGGAAGTACCGCGGCTGGCGAGGGCGCGCCTAGTAGGAGAGCCTCGCATACACCCGCTAAAAGAGGTACACATATACCGATGTATATAATATATACGTTCACTCTATCCTTCCTCGTTTAGTGCAAATAGCGCTTCATTTTCAAGTGTTATTTGCTTGGGTTTTGCCATTTTCAAAAGAAAATATTCGATCAGAGCAGTAGCTGATATATTTCGAATATAGACAATGTTAATATCACAACTTTCACGTGCTAATTCACGGGCGACTGTATAGAGTATGAAGACGTTAAAACGACCCAATACTAATAAAACCACATCTTTTCCTAAATTAAGTTGATGACAGATTAAGCCATAAAAAACCGGTTTCGTCAAAATTAAGGAATTCGTTAAATATGATATATGTGGTATAATAATCCTTTTTGCGTTTGTGTAAACAGTCGTAAAAGTTGTAAAACTTGAGATTATTGTTACCGCTATTACTCGGCATTCATTTGTTTTAAAGATAGGTGTGTTTGCAAACTTTTGGACAGTATATACATATGTAAGTATAACCATAATCAAGATAGGTATATAGATATCGAAAAATTGTCGAAATGAATGTGTAAAAATTCAAAAATTTTACTATTTTTAAACAAAAAATCCTAAGGCACGTCTTACATTACTTCTTTAGGTATATTACTACAATGGTTACCCTTTTAATATTTAAATAATAAATGAATACAGGAATAATGTTCATTCATTATTTAAATGAATATACGCGAAAATCTTAGATGTCATTAGTTGTGGAATGTTCTGAATTTCTCTTACTATTATTTGTTCCCAGTTGTGGCCGGAGTCGCATCACTAGGTGGCACCATATCAGTGGGAGTCGGTTCATCCTTACTACTCGTGTGTCAATGTGTCGGAGTACCACCACCTCGCACTGTGTGGTACCACAAACGTAATATAATAACGCATCATCCGAGATTCACGAGGAATCATGACGACAGCTTGCTGATTAACAGTAAGTGGTGTATAGAAGATTATACAAATAATTTTATATTTTTAGGCCCATTTATTGTTTGATAGAGTAATGACGATTAATTAATGAAGAGCCTTTGAAGTTAAAACCAAACAAAGCGAATTTTCCGTACATTTAATTCAATCTCAAACCTTCCAAAATTCCTATATTTTTTGGGATAACAACATACTTCAAAACACAACACCTCTAGGTAACTTGCTTATCGCTTGTCGAACATTTTTGTATACGGAATTAAAAACTATTGTATCTACATATATTATACTTAGACTTGTATTACTTAATGGGCACCCAAAAACCTGTATTCAGTTCATGTATTTTGTAATCAATTAATATTTTTTTGTTATGATTTTCAGACATAGACCAATCCCTGAGCGGGAACTACACATGTCTTGCAAAGAATCTGTATGGTTCTGATTCAGTGGAGTACACCGTAGTAGTTCTACCGCTGCCCGAAGCACCAACACTACGAGCCACGCCATACAAAGACTCGATATTAGTTGAATGGGAACAACCTTATTATAGCATCAGTAACCGTAACTCGAACCAGAAAATTAGTAAGTTGGTTTGTGAATACACTTTTCGCCCGCAGCTACTCCCGCGTGGAGTTCGGTATATCGCGTTTCCAAGAGAACCTGCCAAAAGTCTGGGATAAAAACTATCCTATGTTCCTTCTCAAGATCAACTCTATCTCTGTACCAAATTTCATTAAAATCAGTTTTGTGGTTTACGCGTGAAAGCGTAACAGATAGACAGACAGACAGAGTTACTTTCGCATTTATAATATTAGTAGGGATTTAAGAATCACTATAGGATAAAATAGCGATATATTCATGTCCGTGAAGTATGGAAATGAAATTAAATATGTGTTGATTAAAGAATTTAAATTTTAGCATCCAACTCAATAATTGAACTTCTAAGTCTATGAAAGTACTCGTAGATATAACTGAAAAAGATTCAAAAATAAACTTGCCTCGACTATCGTACTATACGCGAAATAATAAGAATGTTAGCTGTTATTTTATCCTGTTTCCATTTATTCACAATTTCTATAATATAATAATAAAATGGAAAAATAATTGACAATGATAGTCACTATCTAATCCTACATTTTTCAGCTTATAGCCTAACATGGAAAGAAGCAAGCGGTCCGTGGCGAGAAGTGTGGTCACCAAACAAAGTACCTAATAAATTATCAAACCTCTCTGGAGTTCAAAAACATGCGCTGACTGGTCTTAAATGTGGCACGAAATATTCTTTGAGGATCACAGCTACTGACAAAGTTGGTACATCACAACCAGCGTATTTGGATGTTAGCACGTTGGGCGGACGTAAGTATACTTAATACATACATGACGTCGATTTCCATATACATATATATTCTCATATTATGTATAATTTCATCAAACATTTAATCACATTACATATAATCACTCGATATTTCTTGCAAACTGTGATCATATTATAATCATCCTTTTTTTTGCTATAATACTAATAACCAAACAATAATAAGTCATTGGTGGCCTAGTGCTTAAAGGCCCATCTCTCGTATAGGGCACGGGTTCGATCTTGGCAAGTACCAATGTGATTTTTTTCGAGTCATATGTAGGTACTTTCCTTTAATAAGATGCCTTGCTCAGCAGTGGTCTCTGATAGGTCGAGGACGCTACATTAATATTCGTATCTTAATCTTTTAGCTCCCATCGCTCCTACGTCAACGGAGTGGTTCTGGAGCAACTATTCCCACGTGTTCATTCAGGCCGCTGGTTGGGATGACGCGGGATGTGAGCTCCGAACGTTGGAGCTAGAACACCGGGCTCTTGGAGCGAGGAGCTGGATGAGGCCTATCAATATATTGGTAATGTAACATACTAGTATTAAAATGATTTATATAAATGACGTTTGATAGAAAACGAGCGCTGATTATAGCGATTTAATAGAAATGTGTTTTGATATAAGATTCTTAAAATTTATGGATGTACTTAGTTGTGCTTTGAATAATAAAGAATATAAGGAATATTAACTGTACAAAAACTGCAATTTATAGCAATTATTTGCCCGTGACAATGGTGTAATGCTATTTCTTTCTTTTAATAACTTGGACATTATATAACCTTTGCAATATAAATTATGGATATATAAAACTATACACCTGTGATGATATGCGTGAATAATTTTATTATAATCGTAGAAGTAGCAAATTAGTGAAGGATTAACAAAAAAAATGAATTATTTTTAAGCCAATATCTCACTTGTTTATTCATACGTGTCTGACAAAAACGTCACATATGATGCCTAATTTTAAAAATAACTTATTTCAATTAATATTTATATTTACGTTTAAACTTAATTTTTTCTTTACTCACTTTTCAATCAAATATACCATCATAACCTATACAATATTCCTACGAAACTATTTTGCCTATACACAAAACTATTTATTTATTGCCACATCTAACACTATATTCCTAATCCTTCCTCGTCAGTCATACACGGGTCACCCCTACCAGTACCGAGGCTCGTTCGCTCTATCAGGCCTGTCCGCCGGCACCTGGTACGTGTTACGTATCACAGCCACCAACGAGGCGGGGAGCGTCACCACCGTTTACAACTACGCGACTAAGAACGAGGATGGCAGTGAGTTAGCAGTTTAATGTGTGACATAACTGTATTATTACATTCAGAAGAATGAATAACTTAAAAAAATACTAACTACAAACGAACAATTTAATAGTTCTTACAAATTTCTAAAGGTTTTTAGTGTGATACTAAAATACAACGATGATTGATACCTCACAGAATGTAACAATGTGATTATAAAATGACTCACGATACCGAATTTATAGAGCTCTGACTGTTACAAATGTTCACGAGCAATAAAAAGACTCGATACAAGACTACAGATCTTTATAAAAATAATTTATGGGTACTTTAGTGAATCAAAGTGAGCGTTACTTATTATATGACAATTTTCGCCCTCGTGGAGTTTGGTTATATCGCGTTTTCAAGAGAACTTTTCAAAGGTCTGGGTAAAAAACTATCCTATGTTCTTTCTCAAGGTCAACTCTATCTGTGTACCAAATTTCATTAAAATCAGTTCAGTGGCTTAGGCGTGAAAACGTAACAGACAGACAGACAGAGTTACTTTCGCATTTATAATATTAAAAGGGATTGTATAGAATAAAACATATCGTATGTTTGAGTCTAAAAATTGAAAGTCATGATTTTAGAGAGAGACAAAAAATAGTTCCAAATTTTTTATTTAATGACCATTTTTATTATTTTACAGGTGAAGTTGGTCCTCCGTCGGAAATCTTCGACATCAACATGTTGGTGATAGTCTTAAGCTCAATTCTCCTAGCTGTCTGTCTTATCTGCTGTGTTTATATTCTAGTTAAGAGGCAACGGTAAGTCTTACATGTCCAAGAATCTAACTGAATTTAAGCATTTTTAATAAAGTTTTTACTTCAAAGTAAAAAGTATATATATATAAGTATATATATATATAATTTCATGCACTAGCTATGAAATTAAGCGAGAAAGAAAATGTGCGCACGCACGGCTCTTTTCCTTGGCCCTACAATAATATACAACCGTAACACACTCTATCTGTCTATCTTCACTTATTTACATCTCCCTCTCACTGTCGTTCGCCTCGTTCGATCACACTTTTCGTAACCCTTTCGTAACGCATTCACCAGCTTACTCCCAAGTCAAGCGTGCGTAAAGGAGTTTTACTTTCAAACCGTAAGCAGTATGTATATCTGTATCTACAAACATGAAGTAACCAGAGCGAATAACCCAAGTAACGTATAAAGGAGTTGATAGTTTGAAACTTAATTGAATATGTTTTTCAGTAATGTCAACTTAACGGGATACCGCGACTCAATAACGGTCGACAAATCTGAAAGTGGCAACATAACAGCTAACACATCACACAGTAACCTAGCGAATGTTAAAGAGAATTCAATGAACGCTCAGAACAGAATATACAGCGCTCCGATACATGTTAGAAATAATAGTAAACATGGTGAGTAATATTATAAATAATTAATACAAATATCATAAATATGAATTTTTTTATAAAAAGATTTGATAATAAATGTTGCATTTGTTTTTTTTTTATATTCAATGTAAGATGTTTACTGTGGACCTATACTGATATATTAGCGTAATGAAAAAATAATATTTGTACGACCAAGTTCTAAGACGGATTTCTTTTGCACGAAAACTCTAGAATTCAACACTTATTTGAAACATTCAAACGATTCTTTCTATCTCTATATTTAAGTATGTATTTTAATAATTTTGACCTAAACTATAGCTATATTATTTCCGAGTTATACGAGATAAGTCCTTACGCGCAATTCGCTGTCGGCTTTCGAACGTGTGGTCACGCTGAAAACAATGACGTGCCGAGACACATCAAACACAGATATGATACAGGTAGTGAGGACAACGAAACAAGATAAAATATAATAACAAACTAATATAATGAATGTACCAGTTATTATTATTTATGAAACCAATCAATTTAAAATATACGTTACAACTACTACAGTATAATAAAATGGTTCAACAAAAAAATTCATACTTATATTTGTTAAATTTCGTATATACCATTATAAAAAAAAATACGATACGTAAAGATTAAAAACAGAACATCTCTTTTATGAACTTTTTGCATTCAAAAAACGTAAATTAAAGTTATAATCAAAACGTCGGCATTTCTTAATGTTTCCGTCAATAGTTAAACTATAAGTAGGTAAAATTCACTTTCACCATTGAACTTATTTTAGTTTTTATATATTTTTACAGAAACGAGTTTACAAGTTTGCTCCGAGTCAGAAGACAGTGACAGCATATCAAAATCAACCCTCAAGAGCGTACCGAGAAGTAAGTTACGTCTGTATCCCTACTAATATTATAAATGCGAAAGTAACTCTGTCTGTCTGTCTGTTACGCTTTCACGCCTAAACCACTGAACTGATTTTAATGAAATTTGGTACAGAGATGGAGCTGACCTTGAGAAAGAACATAGGATAGTTTTTATGCCAGACTTTTGAAAGGTTCTCTTGGAAACGCGATATAACCGAAGTCCACGCGGGCAAAGCTGCGGGCGGAAAGCTAGTTATGTACTAGCATATATAAAAAGTTGTGTTACTATTCATAACTAAAGAACGGCTGTACGGATTTGGTTGGAAATTTGTGGGGAGTTTGGAATCAAGAGACGGACATAGGATACTTTTGAATTCGTTCGACCTAAAAATAATAATTTGCTATAATAAAATCCAAAATCTGTTAGTCTGGTCAGCTATACATTTCTAATTATGAAACTAGCGCGGACAAAGTTGCGATCAAAAGCTAGTTTATTTATAAAATTAATACAATTACGCTAAATTTACTTCTTTACTTAATTTGTCAATGTAAACATAAAGTAAATTTAAAATGATGCCCTAAATTGAACACTTGATAGTTTAATGCTACATCTAATACTAAATCAATGACGATTGACAGGTCTTATAAGAAACGGAACGTAATTTCTGCCAATACCTTACTCCATGTTTGAATTGCCACTACATACGAGGAATTTTCAGTATTTCATATTATATAAACTATCCCGTTAATATTTACGAGAGACAAATTAGAAACTTTCAGTTTGTAGTTGAATGATACTATGTTATTAAGGAATTTAACTATGACGAGAGAACAAATACTTAAAAATATTGGCCTACTATGTACTAATAATTATCTTTATGAATAAAAGTAATATTTTCTGTTTTATACAACATACTCCCGACGTTTTGGTTAATTTGCAACAGACGAGATGAAAATGTCTGCTAGTTTTTCTTGTTATTTGTCATCTTCAGCCAAAGAATTCTTAATTTCCTAGCGTGGAAATTAATTTTCATCTCGTCTGCTCGTGATCAAAGGTATATAAAGTATGTACCTACTTGTGTCATACATAATTTTTCCAACTTCCGTCTAAAGCTCGTGCTGTTATTTCAACAACCTTGCACATAATTAAAATATGCGTATATATATGACAAAGCATCATATAAATATATGAAACCGCCATACGATCCATGTTTAACTCTATCTTAGATGTTATTGTTAGTATGACATCGGAATATAATTAAAAATGTTAATTTCAAATCCAATCGTAACGGCCAACATATTTGAAGATAAAATCTGTACCTTATAACTGTTTTCTCCTATTTATTTTAGCTTGATAATTTTTTCCTATGTTAAAAATAATTTAATATTGAAATTTTTTCAATGAACTTGATATAATATAAATTACGTAGGTGTAAACACTATTCAAATAATACTCACTGCTTTTGTTCATTTGTTCACAGAAGCGTGTCGTTTGCCGCATCATAGGTAACTAGATAGAACAATCTAGGAATCAAATTCCACGGACCATGTACATTTTCATTGTAAATAAATACACTTTGTTTAGAAACAAAGTTATCATGTTTTTTTTTAAGGCAAAAGTGGCGCGACTTTTTTTCTCGCATCAGAGTCTAGTCTTTTTACAAAATGGCTTCGCTGAAAATAATTTCCATGTGTCATTCAACAGACGTTCATAAGTTTGTATTATTTAAAAAAGGCCACTTTTGCCTTTATTTTACTGCTATTCGATGAGGTATGTTCATATTTAAAACTTATCAAAATATATTTATAAAGTAATAAATAATTTAATTGTTAATTTTTTGTTATATTTGTTAATATAGGTTATGTGATTTTAATATATTTAAGCTAAGTAACCATCTTTTTTTAGGATTATAAGAAGTCTAAGATTATAACTCTTTTCTCGAAAACGTCTAAATTGTAAAAAGTACAGTCAAAACTCTTTTCTGCTATTCCATTATCTCTTGAGAAGATAAATGAAGGGAGATCTCACGCTGTTTTCTTGTAATAAATTCTAATATTATGTAAATCATATGATTAAAATCCTAATTCACATATGTTTATAAAATTATGTCATTAAAATATCATTTTGGTTGAATAAGAATAATATTTCTTAATAATTTATTCATGTGAAATTGTAAAACAGCTGAAGGCTAAATAAGTTTTAAAAATTCTAGTGTATCTTTTTTTTTTTGGAGAATGTTACAGGTTTATATCTTAAATTTGATAAAAGGTTACGAATCATGCTGTGTCCAGATATTTTGACCTTTAGGTAATATGCTTTGGTAAATTAAAGGATTTCTAAGAATCGTAAATGTAAGACAATATCCGTATAATATTCTTATTGAATCCAATATTGTTTTTGCGTAGTCAGGTTTCTTCTCAGTAAAGCTTAGTGGGGTGAGAAACCTCAAAATGATAGGTAATGCAAATAAAAAAAGAATTTGGTAGACAGTTCATTACTTATCTTTAATATAGAAAATCATATTTTGAATTCTACAATAAACTTATAATTTACTTGAACTCTGACTTGATTTGATACATTTACACCAAACTACATATCTACATTAGAACAATAGAAATATTGATATAACACTTATATGTACATACATAGAAATATGGGATTAAAAAATTAAATTCTCTTTCTAAAAGAAATTTATCAAGTCAATATTATAATGACTAAGTCAATATTATATTATAATTATATAAAAGGAAAAAATATGGTAAATGCAATCTTATCAAGGTTATATAATAATTAAGACTATTATAGCATAAATATATTAATTGATACTATTCTGGGTTTATCAATTTGCATTGCAACCATAGCTTTGTTGTTGACTAAGTGTACAACGAAAGTCTTTACAAATCTGTTACCGAAAATTATTTTTCAGTAAGGTTCAACAAGAGTTTTAGATTTCTTGCCAATCCACAAAAACATAGGACATATGAATGTACTTATTATATGTACAATATACTTTTTGTTACTAAAGAGTTCTAAACCTGAAATAAAAAAGAATTACATTAACAATGTTTCTAAGTGGCCAATTCGTAACATCTTCAGTGTAACTCATTTATTAATAAATCTTTATATTTATTTTCCAGAGTACTAAATCGTCGTGTAAACCGGACAAGTCGACTCAACAATGACAGCATAGCAAAATGCTTGAAACGATATTACACTGCAGAATTAAAGACAAGAAAAACTAGATGTCGCACTATTAAAATTTTTAAAAATAAGCAATTTTTTGATATCCTTCTTAAAATGTATTAAGAAATGGATATACCATGTATTATATAAATATAAATATGTATATTTTAAATTCTAATTTCAAAAACTCGGGTATGAGTAGATCAAATTAGTGTTTTTTTAAAAAAACTTTAAATTATATTACAAACATCACTCACACTTTTATATTATTTGACAAATATACATATGTACCTATTATATACATGTAATGCAGAGGTACCTATTTAAAATATTTTTTTTAATGTATCTGTTTGTGGTTTTGCAACAATTATATAGAATATAATATTCAATTTTGCATTACCTATTAAGTTAAAACATTAATCATAATATAATTTTATGAACTCATATAGGACTTATTATGTTACATGTAAAAAAACTGCTATTGTTGTAAAGGTTTGTTTAAATATGTTTTACATAGTGATTATAAGATATTTTTATGAATATTCGTGTAGATTGTAGCTGAAGAGTAAATAAATTAAAACATGTATAATATGCATTCATTAACATCATTGTCTATCTATTATTTAAAATTAAGGGAAAAAAAGACAGTAGTTACAATTAAAAGAGATTTATTTTATAAAAAGAAAATATTATGAAGTTAATGAAATAAGTCTAGTAAGAGTTTATATAATGAACTACATATTTAGTGGCTTTTATATTTGGTATGCATAAATAATTAAGGAAGTCTTATAAATTTGTATGAGGAATATTAAAATAAATTTACATAAGTGCAGAAAAAGTCCTTTAAATTATTAAAATATTAAAAATGTATTAAATAATAGAACCTCAATCTAATTCTACCTTGTAAAGCAAATAAATGTATCTTTAGATAAGTACTCAGAATCTTGATTGAATGTAGCTTCATTAAGTTTTGATATGTTCACATGGAAGGGAAGAAAGTGTGAATTAAAATATATATCTTTTTTAAATTCTTTTCATATTAAATATTATATAGCTTATTTAAAATTAAGATAAGTATACTATGGTAAATGACAAACCATTTATGTATATTGATAAGGACATACAATGATTCAATATTAAAATTTAGCAACAGAAGGTACAATTTTCATATCTTCATGTTCTCAAGATCTAGAAAGTTTTAAAATTTATATGATTTTTTTTATAAATAAAGATTTTTTTTAAATAATTTTTTTAAAGTTTAAAGACTACGTATTTTCCTTTCTTCGCATGAATTAAACTGTCTATAGGACAACACAATATAGATAATCTCTATAAATATT